GCAAAAATCTGCCCATGCTGTTGCAAACAGGGTGGCCCACAGTGTGATAGTTAGGCCAACAGTTATTAGTGAATCTGCCATAAGATTTGTAAATTTTAATAGTTTAATTTTTAATATAAACTTTATAAACTTTTAAATTAATATTACTATTAAACATACTGTAATAGTAATAATTACTTACACATCATAATTATATAATTAATTTTTTACTTAATATAAGGTATGTTTGTAGTAAATAATAATGCCACCTTTATATACTTGAATATTTTAATAAATTCGAACTGAACTTTTATTTTATCTTACCTAATACTTCAAATTATCACGGTTTAGTCATTTTCTATATTTAATTTATTATGACTTATTAAGTTATTAAGTTAAACAATAATTGATAAAAAGATGTAGAATCTGTCTCATTACAATTATATTGATCACGTTTATTACCATGGTCATTATTAATGCAGTACTTCATCAAAGTGTTAACTAAAATATAATACAAAAACTACATGCAGCAATTGTATAAAATTATTGATTAGGTAAATTTTATTTATTAAGTCTATAGGATATCGAATGTACATGATAAGCGAAAATATAATAACATAATATTTATGTAATACTATCGGCAATAATCCGTTGCAATTGTCTTCGTTGATTTACCCGACGTTGCACACGACGAAAAACTCGTGGTTTATGCAAATTACATATTGACCGCCAATTATGTGTTATATTAAATGTAGATAATATATATTGGCGATGTTTAAAAATTATCATTTTACATTTAGTAAATAATTGTGAAACTAATTCAATGGACTGCGAAACTGAAAATCCGAACCATAAACCAAACAGCGATCCGATAAACAGCTAGTGTTGCCAACTCGAAAATTTTCAATAGTGGACATTTACTCTAAAACTATTAAAAATAGTGGACAAATAGTGGACACGTGATATTTTTAAGTTATTTTTAATTTGCTTTGCTAATTTATTATTATATGACCCATGATATATTAGAACCGGCTAAACTTTTACGTTAGATTTAGTCATAATTATTACATTAAATTTAAACCTGAATAAAATACACTTGTTAGTGTCACACACACACAAAGAAACAGTAGACCTTATAATTCACACAAATTTCGTATATATAAACTTATAAATTAATGCTAAAAATCTGCTATTTACGCTAGATAGCATGTTTTTACAACTAATTTGTAAGTTTATATATACGAAATTTGTGTGAATTATAAGGTCTACTGTTTCTCTGCACACATATAACAAATAAAAACATTTTAAAATTGTTTAAACATTAAAATATGGTAATTTAAAGTGTAATTTAATTAATTATGGATCAAATGTTTTATAAAGAGGATTTGTAAATAATAAATAAAAATATAAATTTAAATTTGCTATTAATTATGAATAAATATGTGATTAATTTATAATGGTTGAATGCAATGGTAAAGTTATGATTCAGTTTAATAAAAAAGTTTAGCCGGTTCTAATATATCATGGGTCATATAATAAATTCGATTTAAAGTAATTAATATATCATGATAGTTTTAATGTAGCAACATTATATACAAAGAAATCAGTATTGAAGTTTGGTTTTTATTATTGACGTTTACTAAAATTTTGCTAAAAATTGGTTTATTTTAAGAGCTATCAATATTTGTACACTTCTATATTGATTTAGTTAATATAAAATAGTGGACACTTAAAATATGAACAATATAATTACAGATAATATTTATTATTGCAACTTAAACATATAAAATTAAAAATAGAATTTAAGTGTCCACTATATTCAGATGAAAACACATCAAATAATAATTTAATGGCTTTATAATAGTTACATTTTAGAATATTTGATAAATTGATTGGCAAATTTCAAAATAACAAATCATTTGTCAAAATTTAATAAATAATTTGCACTATTATAAACAAGATTTTAATAATTTGTCAAAAATTAAATAGTGGACATGTCTATGTCCACTATTTGCTCTTCAATTCTAAGTGGACAGGTTCATGAAATAGTGGACTGTCCACTTGAATAGTGGACAGTTGGCAACCCTATAAACAGCACACACTCTATGAATGATAGTTTTAATGATACCTCGAATAGCTTATCGGGTTCTGTCGGGAAATTTAATACAAGTTAAACTTTATTTTTGGTAAACTTTTTAGATATATTCTGGGTCCTGTATTGAAGTGCGTAATATTGTTTTACACACTCTGTTCTTTCACTGCACTCCTGCCTGCAATTGAATTCGAGTTTATTAAACAAATTATAAGCATTTGTCCATGATTCCTTATCATTAACATAGCTCCGATTAGCTTCACCCTCATCGTCGTATTGTAAAATAAGTTGTGATATTTGTTCATGGTTGTCATATTCTAGTTTAACTCATTTTATTACGCATTCATCACTCGTCTCACTCACCAAACATTTATCTGTATTTAACATATGATTTAATTTTACGGTTTTTTCCGGTATGATATTGCTAAAAAATTATTTTTGTTGATATCGAAATCCCACCATACTCGTTGATAAGGATTTCGTAGCCGTTCCCGCCGTGAATGCACTTTAATTTTAAGTCTTTCGACCAATGATTTATTGCGAAATGTAAACCAAATGGCGTTTAGATTTTTAATATTACGAAATTTACCGGTATAACGAGTATCTGACTCACCCTCCCATTGGGATAATATTGTAATACATGTCATACCCATGAAAGCGATGGACCGGCAATACGGTAATACGGAAGTGCAGTTATCACGTCTGTTTTTAATATTACTACCACATGCAATGAAATCATTAATGTGAATGAGTTGTAGGGTGACCAAATGATCATGATCAAAAGAAGGACTTATAATAAAAATTAAGGTACAAAAGAAGGACACGGAAGGACAAAATTTTTTATTAATTATTTGACAAAAAATTGTATTTTTTAGATGATTGTACAGATTGTAGTATTTGTTTGTTGTTTTTAATGTAATCTTTGAATTCAATACAGTTTAAATCGAAATTATTTTTAATGCATATTTCAGCTTTAAGTAAATTTATTTGTATACGATTTCTGTCATCTCTAAAATACCTTTTCATATGACTGAAAACCCTTTCAATAAAATCATTTCCAACAGGAATTGACAAAACAGATGCAATTATTTTACTCAAATTATTGAATTCATTTGTTGACAATATTTTACAATATTTTTCAATTGTATTGGAATTACTTGTTATAATTTCTGTAGAATTCAAAACATTATTAAATAAAGTTATTTCATCAAATAATAAGTCTTTTTCTGATTTAATGTTAAGCAAATCTATTACTTCTACTAAATTATTATAATCTAATTTAGAGTCTAAATTCAAAAATTTAAATAACTTAAATGGACTATTATTAAAATCAAAATGATTATTTAAATAAATAATCGCACGTTTATAAACACAATTTGCATTATTTAAAAAATCTTTCTTTTGAGATTCACTAAAATTATTGATATTTTCTGAACAAAATGAACCAAAAAACCCTAATTTCATACGATTTTCTAATTTTGATTTTAAGTTAAACATAATGTCAAACAAATTTGTTGAATTTGTTGATGTTTTTTCAAGTGTTAAAACAATTGTGTGAAATAATTGCATAAAATGAATAGAAAAATTCAAATACAATTCAGGAATAGTTATATTATTAGACACTTCAGACCAAACAAATTCATTGATAATATTTGGATTTTCTTCATTTCCAATTCCAATGAAGTAACTCTTAAGAGGAACTATATTTTCATTCAAACGAATTAAAGCTGGTAATAATGATAGCCAACGGGTGGGCACATGTCTTCGCATATCTTCAAACTCTTTGTCAAAAATTCATAGCATGTTTTTAATGTCTCAACTCTTTTAGCAGATATTGAAAAATGTGAATACATTTTTAGTACTAAATTTTCCACATCAAAAGGTAATTGATTTAATGCATGTCTTGCTGTATTGTGAATCACATGACAGTTACAGTTGGCTTTAATTATGTGACTATTTTGTTGTTTAAATTGTGTAAATACTGAGTGATTTTTGCCAAAATTTACGGACGCATTATCGCCAGTATATGATATTATATTTTCAACATTTAATCCATTGTTTTGCATACAACTCATTATTCTGTTAAATATAGCATCAGATGTCTCGTTGGGATCTTCATAAAAGTCGAGCACAAAGTTTTGTATTCCTTTTTCTAATGAAAAATATTGTATTCCTATTGGGAATAACTTTATGTTTCCTTTGTTTGAAGCATCACTTGATATAGAAAACAATTTATGTTTAATATTATTGAGATGTTTTACAATAGAAAGTGGACACAATATATTCTCGGCTATGGCCTCCATCTTAGTCCTCCCGCACTGTATTTGTTGACAAACTTTTGAATCCATAAATATCTGTTTATTTAATTTGTTATTACAATCCATTGATCTGTAGCTTAAGGAATGGTTCACACAATGAAATGTTAAGCATATTTCTGCCACAGAAACGTCATTATTCTGTTTGACTGTTACAACACTAACAAAATTATTTAACGATTTACTCATTTTTACAGAACTAGTATTTGATTTATGATTATCACTGTTTCTATGTTTAACAATAGCGGATTTACCGGCATGTTTTATAACAATCTCTTTATTACAATAGTTACACACAACTGTGTGATCATCTTTTTTTGATATCCAGTCCTTGAACTCATCGTCCGATAACCACTTGTCCTGCACTGTTGACCAGCGTTTATGCTTTCTTTCGGGAGATTTATCGCACATTTTAAATGATTACTGAATTATAAACACATTTCATAAACAACACAATGCTTATGAATGCAATGCTTTCAATAACAAATTTTGAAAAATATTTGTTGCCCTTTTATTATAGATTATGATATTAATTTCAACATTTTTTGTTATGCATTTGTACTTATATGTTATTATGTTTTATATGACTTTTAGGGTTAAAGCCACGCTATTTACAGCTTTCAGTTAAAAATGAAATACACTTTAAAAATTTATTTTAAACTATTTTCTCAAAATTTTTATATAATTTACTGCAACCCAAAGAAGGACAATGTATAGTCCTTCCCGACCCCTCGGAAGGACAGTGTCCTGAGAGGTCCAAAGAAGGACAAATCTTCCAGGGAAGAACGCTTTGGTCACTCTAATGAGTTGGTCAAACTGGTCAGTTATAGATTGGTTGGCAAATAGTTGGTACATAAATCTATTTTTTTTGTCATAGTATTTCAATTTAAATTCGAATCGAATTAACTTATCGATGTTCATGCATAGTGTTATTGCTGGTAGACTATATTCATCGCTAAACTTGACATTAGTTGTGGTTTCGTATGATAAGTATATTTCACAGATTTGATAGGTTTGATACGCAAAGCCACACAATAGTATGCCGTATATTATTAAATTTACTATTAAAGTATAAGGCAACATTTATTATTTACGATAATTTGAATTCTAAAATTACAGTTTTATAATAGCACATGATATTTTATTTAATCTTGAATAAGTATATTTAAAAATGCTAAATACAATTTTTTTATTTACAATTTTAAGTAAGTCTAGAATCTCTATGGACTAACTTTTAATGTTTTAATGTTGTCGTTACTAATTACTAACAATGCTAGAATTTATTAAAGTATATCATTTAGATGATAACATTTAATTAGCTTGAAGAAATGTTACCTAGGATGTTTTGTGTTTGGTTATGTATTCAATTGTGTAATAAACTCTCTGTCTATATAAACAGTGTTTTATTAAATTCTCTATAATATCAGACGAAATAAAGATGTCATTATAACCATAATAAATCACATTAATAGTCTGTATATATTAAAATGTATTGTGTTTTATGAATTGTAGTTCATTTAGTTTAGAAATTTAATATAAACCTTAATGTTTTATCGATGTAACCAATTTAAATATTTATGTTTAATGCTTGTGTTTTCCATTAAATGACTATTTCAAAAGTAAAAACAATAAATGTGAATTGAAATTTTGAATACTTAATAATGTAATTTACATTCGTGTATTGACAACATATGCTATTTCAATATTACTTTTAATTACAAAATATAATTAAATTTTCTATATTATTATATTTACTTTCATGTAATCAAAATTTTTGTACTATGTGTAGTTTTTGTATTATAAAAGATTTTTTAGAAAAGTTGTGTATTTTGAAATCATATAAATCCGAAATATTGACAAATCATTAATAAATCAAAAAAGTACATGCAGCACAATAATTTTGATTACATATTCTTAAACAGGAGCAAAAATAACTTGATATCTATTTCAGGATTTTGCTCAAAAATGAGTTAGAATTTAACATTATGTCTACGGGAAAAATAATAAAATTTTGCTTGATTTGAGATTATTTTTAAAATAGGAGATCAAACATATTGACCATATCATCATAATGTTAAAACTGGTTAGTTTTAATGTTTATTACACTAAATTTAGTTAAATCTAACTAATTTAATACAGAATTCATGTTGTGCTCTGCGATATCTCCTCAGATCATTATTAAAATTACGACACTTTTGGTAATTTCAATGTTTTGAGTATAAAACACAAAAACAAAACTCGTGATATTTCTCTTTCTTTACCTTTTATATTTATTTCCATGATAAAATTTCTTTTTGTTTCAATTCTATTTCAAATATACCTGTTTTTACGCTAAAATTCACTCAATTTTACAAAATAGTTAAAATAGTTACTAACGTCTCAAATAGTTAAATATAGTTAAAATAAACTTTCGGTAAACTGACCCCCAATGCATGATCGGTTCACATCCCGAGTCTGGGGGTAATACTATTAACCGTTAAAAATAGTTACTATAGTACAGTACAGCAAAAATAATGTTTGGTTAAATACCCAAATACTCAATAAAACTTGCCAAATTCTGTTTAAAACTAATAAACATTTATAAATAAGTGTTTTCTCATTTTTAAACTACCAGTATACAATTTCATAACTAAGATTACATCAAAAAATTATAAAATTAATTTTCATAATATTTTTAACAAAAGAAAAAATTATATAACAATTGATAATAAGATGTGGTCTCTGTCTCACTGCAATCATATTGCCATGTTTATTACCATGGTCACTATTAATGCAGTATTTCATCCAAGTGTTGACTATAATATTGTTAGCTTCATCATGATTATCGCAAAAGTTCTGCCAATTCTTAGCCTTAATTCTATCCAATTCACCCTGGTGTTTAAGTTGTCTGATGGCATCATTAAACTTTGAGATATACACCGATCCCTTAGGCATAGCTATGGCGTATACATTGGGAAAGTAGCCGTTGGGGTCGACAACATATGTGAGGTTACAGTATATGCCCGACCAGTACTCGGCGATAGTGGACACCGTTATAAACCCATATCGCATGCCAGTTACCATTTCGTACAAAACATCACCAAGGTTAGCGACCATGTTGTCTGGATTGCTCTCCATATGTCTGTACATACGTTTGATGACCGGATTGTCTGACTGGTTGAAAGCTCGATGGGCGCGACCACCGCGATAGGTGCCGTACGGCAGGTCAGACGCGGCCAAATCGGCGAATGACCCCATGTTTTGGGCGTAATGTTTGTGGAGAAGTACTACCAATGGGTTGTAATCTATAAATGGTTGAGTAAAGTCAACATACTTTGCCCGCGCGTCGGTCACTGTTATGTCCGCCACCGCGAAATCGGCCCTCTGTTTGATGTTTGTAATAATTTTAAAAATATTAAGATACAAAAATAAATACATTATTTAATACGTCAAATTTTTAACATGCAAGTTGATCAACAAAATTACTGTATAACACACTCGGAGTTGCATATTTTAATGCATACATGTTATTATGTCTAAATGTGACTATTTTATGATTACTTACGCCCTCATAAACCTCGGCAATCATACCGTTCACACTGTTGTTGATAACCGACCCATACTTGCCGTCCGGCGAGAGATACAGTTTGTATTGAAATCCGACAATATTTGCGATTTCATTCATTAGATCCACGACATAGCCGTGTAGGGCATCAGTCGTACAATTATGATACGTTTCATTTAGACGCCTAGCATAGGGCCAAAACTGTGCTCGTATTATACAAATAGTATAATGATAGTTTAGTAATTTAGTAAATTTATTTTATCATTTAAAAAATTCGTTAATTTTTATCTTGGTTTTTAATTATATCATAACTATATTAAAATGAAATAAAAGTAAAAAAATTTATTTATATTATTTGCAATTTATTTATACTGTAATATGAAGTAGAATTTAAAATCTATTTAAATAATTGCTTACATTAATGGTAACGCCATTAAGAATCGGCTGATTATCCGCCGCATTACAGACTTTGTCATGTAAAATGATCAGGATTGTAATAAAAATATATAATAATTGCATTATTAGTATTATTATAATAAAATTGCCGCCAATAGTAACGACCACTAAATGTGATGAAGTTTCTTACTTCATTGAAAGTTACAAACAATTATATATTAATAGGCAACTAATGTCTTTAAATATACTGTTTTAAAAGCCAAAATCTATGTAAAAAAGTTAAAACGAATAAGCCTTGGAATTAATTAAATTAATTTGACAAACAATTTAATAAAGCTTAATTCATAGATGTAGACATGAACTTCAAACGTAACGATAAATATTGATAAATTAGCTTATTAACAAAATTATATGAAAAAAAATTCCAATTTATTTGATTTACCAAATCTATGATTAAATACATTATATAATCAAAACAATAAAATGTTATAAATAGTTAAGACTTAATTATTAGTTGACAATGGTAATTATATAATATTAATTATTATATAAACAGCGCGTTAAATATTTTCATTTAACAAAGCAACTTAATTTATTTAGGTAGTAGCAATATAAATAAAAAGAAGTCTGTTTATGGTCACCTTATAATAAACATAATAGACAAATAATTTATAATTGATAACATTTACAAACAATAAATAAATTCAACTAATATTTTATTGTATTTTATTATGAAATTAAATTTTCTCATACAATTCGTTCAAAGTAAACAATTCAAGGTTAGCTTCATTTTTTACGTTGTTCCATGCACGTTCTTGCTCGGAATTGAGCTGTCCCTTGTATTTATCACCAAATGCAGTAATTACTGTAATTACCTATACAAATATTACAAAAAATATATATAAATGACTGCAATTAATATTTATATATTATAATAATAATCTCTATCCCTCTCAAGAGCTAGCTAAAACAATTAGGAATGATTTGCATATTGCGTTTACATTTAAAAAAATAAAAGTGTTCATATAATCATTCTTGATCATTGAGTATATTAAGACTTTTTACAAAAGTAAACTACCATGTACAAATGCACTAAAATTTGTACAATCATTTACAAAATTTATATTCACAGCACAATCATATTGTAAATATTGTAATAATATTGTAATCATTATAATATTACATGAAAACTTCACAAATATTATATTTTACATTACAAAGAGGTAATTTCCTAAAAGTACGTACATTTTTTTATTTGAGCAATTAAACCGCGACAATAAGCCAAGTGTTTATCACGGTGACTCGGGTCAGATTGTATGGCCGCTCTAAGGTTTGACTCATTGACCATCACTTGTGTTTTATCATTAGTTACTTGCTTGATGAATTGTAGCCAAACGGCTGGGTCCACGTTTGCGTAACCTGTAACATATTTCACCGGGTTTAGTAAGGTGAATACAACATTTTGAATATATTAATGCTATTATAAATTTATTTTATTGGCATATTACCTAGAGCAAAAATGCCCAAAAGTGTTACGACAATAGCCACTGATCTCATTATTATTAATTCTTAATTGAAAATACACTTTTCTGTTAATAGAATAATAAATTTTATATTGATCAAGTGTACAATCGACATGAGAGTAATCTTGTACAATAGTATTTAATTGAATTTTAACTTTTTTTTCTATGGGGGAGTATATGGGAGAGGGTTTTATATTGATTTCACCAAATTTGAGCGCTTTTTTTGAATTTATTATTTTTTCTATGGGAGAGTATATGGGGGAGGGTTTTTT